TATTGCAGAAGAATATTATGTGTGTTGTATGCGTATACACAAACTAAGTGCATCAAAGAACTACATTCAGTCGTAAAATTTAACATGCCATTATCTTTTCCGGTAAAAAAACGAAAATATGGCAATTAAATTATAATAAAGCTAGGAATGATAGCAACTTTAGACATCAGTTTAATTATAATGTTTACAATTATCAGAGGAATGCATTGTAAAGACGCAGAGAAAAATTCACTGGACCCAATTTTCCTGTTTTTATAAGCTTTTATTTAGTTCACTTGCGGTGTTTCACTGTGGAAAGGGCATTATCATCGATTTTTAATCCGATTTCAATTCAAAGTTTTAACCTGATAATTTGTATTTCCTGATTTATATTTTTGAGAATATGAAACTGGATTCTAGTTAACGATAAATGTGACGAAAATTTCGTTGATGGGAGCCCGAAAAGGCGGATTTGATTCTGTTCTGATGGACCTAGAACATAAAATAGCTAATATCTAAGTGTGTGCTTGCAGTCATAGCCGAGTGAATAAATTTTATTTTTGACAAACGTAATACAAATATTTATTTATACCTGCGAGAAACACGAGTATTATCTTCAATAATGATCTCCCAGTATTCACACTTTTACTTCCTTGTAGGAAGTACTGTAATTGCGAAATATTTCGGGCATCATCATCTTTCAACAGAAATAGCCACTTTGAGCTCTCTCGAATCCATTTGAACGATGTTTTCGCGGGACATTTGTATGTACAGACAGAGTAAAGGATACTTTTTCACAAAACGGATTGGAAGATGGATTTAAATGGATTCAGAAGGGATTTTTTTCGTGACGCCTGCTGTACGTATGTATCTCGCATAACTTTAAAACGAGTGGCATTAAAACGTTGTAATTTTGTACATGGGATTGCTATAACATGTAGTTGTGCACCTCCCCTTGTGGTGGGTGCAATCTGTAGCAATATATAGATCCGCTCTGTTACCCGGCTTCGTGAGCTCAGTAGTTTCATTCTTATATGTTAGTAATTTGTGCATTTTTACTTCCTTTACGAAGTAAAGGAAGTATTGTAATCGCGAAAAGTTTCAGGCAGCATATTTCAAAGCAAATATCCATTTCAGCCGCTATCGAATGCAATTTAACGATGCTTTTGCGTGATATCTGTACGTAAGGACAGAATAAAACTCTTTTCCTTCAAAAAATTATAAAACTCTTTAAAATTATTCTGAAAGATTTTTCGTGGCTTCTGTACGAATATGTACTACGTATCTCGCATACCCGAAAACGAGTAACCTCAGAACGTGAAATTTTGTAGGACTGCTATACATGTAGACACCTCGTATTTTGGTTGCAATCGGTCGCACCAAACATATAAAATATATTTATATATATATCCGCTCTATTACCGCGCGGGATCTCAGTTCTTCCTCTTATATGTTGTAATTGTACATTTTTGCTTTAAAAATGATGAATTATTTGTTTTATCTTCCGGTTAAGGATTTTAGCCTTTAGTAAATCTTGTGCAATTTTTTAGAATTATCCGCATTTAAGTTGTTTAATTGCGCGGAGACTGTTTTAATGGCGGCCATTGATGTTACATTGAAACAGGCGAGTGGATTTGTTGCCAATTAGAGAAACTTAGTTCGCAAACAAAGATACGCATCATTTATTATTGCCAATTAAATCATTATTACGCTTCTGGGACTTTGTGGAGGAAATAATCGTTGAGATTTACTTGTATTTTTAATATAGATATTTTGCGTTTATGTATTTTTGCATTCTCCGAAGTGAGACTGATTAATTGAATGAGAACTATGAATCGTCAGAAAAATGTTGCCTTTGTGTTTGGTTTGCTTAATTTCTTTTATACACGTTCTAGATAAATAACATGCCGCATGATAATAATCTTAAAGATACAAATTGAGCATCTGAGTTATATATGACGAAAATAATGCTGTTAAGTAGACCTAGCGCCAAAGTGTCACTATGGTTAAAAAATATAGTGAATTTTAAAGAGTGCATTAGATTTAATTCAATCCAAAAAGTTTAAGTGAAATGCAAGAAAAAATGCTTATAATTTAAGATTCCGTACAGGGAAGTCATGTGGTTTACACATCAGATTTTTGCTTTTAAAGGTGACTGAATTGCGTTGTCCTTATGCTCCTGGGAAGTTTTTTATGCTATTGTTAAGTTTTTAATCTGCATGCAATAGTTGTAAAATTATCATTAATTCAAAAGTTCTTAAAAATGCTACTAAGCTTAACGATGTCGCCATTTGTTTACGTTTGAAACTCTTTGTAGAATAGTGAATTAAGTCCATTTCTTTATTAACTTCAGAGTCTTTTCGCTGAATGTGACCAAAAATAAACTTTAAGATTTGTGCATCAAAAAATTAGTCTTCTTGCATGGCTGACCAAATTGCGTAGAACCTCTAATTTTAATAGTAAATTTTTTTTGAACTGTTTTTCGCTGTATTTTGTGTTTTACGTTTTTCTGTATTTTACAATTTATGAAGATGTTTTGAAATTACATATTTATACTTTCCACGAAGTAAGAGCTGAATTGATTGTATAAGAAATATATCTCTAGTGAAAATCGAGGAAGTACGTTTAAATGAAATGCAGCAAAAAATTTGTAATATTTAATAGGCCGCACACGGAAGTCGTATGGTCCATATCAGATTTTCACATTATAATATAAACAAGCAAAGAAGAGGAAAGCATGTTGGTAGAACAGAGAGGCTGAAGAAACATGCATAAATTATGCATATTATGAATGTTAGAAAAGTTATACTTCTACTCCATTTTGATTGACTGGTAAGATTTTGATTGGTTTGCAGAACTGAATATTAGGAGAAGTTTTGCTTTTATAGAGGTATATGTCCAACATTCGTTTCGTAAGAGAGATTTAGTGTAAGCATTTTTCCATTTTTAAGGTAGAGTGGATTTATGTATCCTATATATGCACGCTATATAGTTTTATTATGTATATTTTATAAAATTTAGATTTCTTAATTTAAATTAAATTTTAGTATTTATTTATGATCAATTTTGTTTTGGGCATTAAAAAATTTATTAATGTAGATATAATAGTTAATAACTGAAATAATTTTATTTAACAGCTAAAATTATCTTTATTTTAATTTTAGATAAATTTGAAATAATGGTTGTGTTAACCAAGCGTACTTATTTTAACTTGGCCTTATTCGTTATTTTCAAGTTAAGATCTCTAGTTTGTTAGGCTGGACGTACTTTTAAAATAACTTTGGTTCTCCTATTATTAAAATACGAAATAATTCATTTCCTAGAGCCATAATTCCTCTCTTACCCGAAGTTCCTCTTTAAACATTTCGCCCTTCTCGCCCAGGTATACAGAGTGTTTAAGAATTAATAAAATAATTTTTAAGGCGTGCTATTATGCACCAAAATAAACAATTTTCTGTACAGAATGCATGGTCGCACATTAAGAAGTCAGATGCCGAAGGGCACTTTCCGCTTCTTAGTGCATGCCACTGTGCATAAACTATGCATAAAAAGGTATACGAAGGTTTGGATGTGCATATAGAAGCGGAGGTGTTTTTCATACATGCTCATCATTCTTTGGTATTTACGTATTAACCTCACGGCAGCAAAAGTTGCGCTAATGCGCCAATAAAAAGCAATCCTGTTGTTCGAACGCAGTTATCTTTTGGATTCTTTTTTACCTTGTTGTTTGCTAATTTTTGACGCCATTTTTTGGATTGATTAGTGGATTATTCAGTTATGGTAAAGCACACGAGGGCTATCTGCCTAAAGGGAGGGATGCCTTTGTGGAGGACTTTCTAAGCGCCCTTTTTTTTTTTTTTTTTGTGTGTGTGTGTGTGTTACGAAAATGCGTCTTAGGGATTTGCCAACCACAGAAGAAAATGCAATTTTATTTTTTCAGGAACGAAATATTTTACCAAAGAAAACGAAAATGTACCAATTCGCATGATATGAAACTTTATTTTGGTAAACGTACGTTTTGGAAATGTAATTAAAGACAGTGTGGTCAGCAGAAAAGGCAACTGGTTTGAAGGAAGCAGAATTTCATTTTGTTCAGCTTTGAGATTCATATAACTGCTGGTGCGAGGAGTTGACGTCGATTAAAGTTTGTGAAAAGGAACTTGATTGATCGAATAAAACTGTTATAAATTGGAACAATTACATGCGGGAATTATGTGTCTTGCGGATATGGGGAATAAACCAAACAAGAAAGTAAGTGGACCAGATTGCAGTGTAAAAATTGCTGAAAGTTTGTTTACTAAACGTAAAAATAATTGTGATCGAGTATTATCCGAACAGTGGGTGTTTGTTGGTATATGTAGAGAAACAAAAGATTCGTTTGTTGTCGCTGTTCCTAATAGAACTGGCTCTACCCTTCTTAATGAAATTATTGAAAACATTGCAGATGGTAGCACAATTTATTCTGACAGTTGGAAAGGTTACCAGACAAATAGAATAGAAAAAGAAAGATTCCTACATGCTAAAGTTAATCATAAGTACAATTTTATTATACAGGAGTTCATACACAAACAGTTCAGAGAATGTGGGGCAGTGCTAAATAGAGGAACAAGAGACGTAGGGAGACAGCGAGACATCATTTAGAATCTTATTTAGCAGAGTTTATATGGCGCCAGCATCAGGTCAAAGAAAATAAATAGAGACTGTTTTGAATCTATGTTAAACTCTATATCGGCTTATTTTCCATCGAAATCCGATTGACTACTTTGATTTAAATAAAGTGCTTTGATGTTTGAAAGTGTTTTGATTTTAAATAATGTGTTTTAATTTATGATTTGTCGCAAAAATTTTAGGTGTAGATTGGCGGCACTTAAAAACCTCAAAATATGCAGCTGCGGTGGCGTTAATACGTAAGTACCTATTCTTTTTATATTAAATTTGTATTTGCATGCTTGCACGTATGGTTTATATGTTTTCATACGTTTTGCTTATATTATAAGGTATTTCTCCCGCCTTCTTAGAATGCCTTCGTGGTGTAGTGGTCATCATGCTCAACACCTATTCGAGAGGTCCATGGTTCGAGTCCCGGCGAAGGCATTCCTCATTTTTCATCTCTTCTGCTTTAAAAATTTCCTAATGGCTCTACAGCATCAGTTGCATGATTGTGCCATATTTTTGCTTCTCAGCTGATGGATATTACATTTCATGTTTTAATTCATAGCATCCCGAGAATTCGTTGAAACCACCCCAACATCTTTGTTAAGTATGTTAAGTATAATGGACTTCCTTTTTTTTCCGGCAGTCTCATCCTTTCAGCTCGACACTTAATTACGTCACGTATCTTCAATAACTTCTTACCCCTTTCACTAAGCCGCGCACGTCGTAGTCAGAGCGACATTCGCGCTTGAGTTACCAGGTACATATTTCACATCCTGCCATTAGGTCATGGATCAGTATTCTTATGAGAAGAAGGACATCATCATGTATCTTTGAATTATATGCGTGTGTGTGTTGTATGGCGAAACAGAAAATGCTTTCCAGTCCCTAATTAACAGGGCTGTGCAGTCGGTAGGGAAAATGACCGACTCTGACTTCGACTCCTGGAATTTTAATGACTCCGACTCCTTCGTATATACAGTGGTGGCCAAAATTGTGGACACTTTTGGAAATTTTTATGTTTTTGACCTTTGTATGCTTATAGAAACGTTACGCTTCACAAATGCAACTTTATATATATTTTTAAAAGAATTTATACTGCATTCAATACAAAACCAAAATTAATTATTTGCAATACAAAAGTAAACGATAATAGTATCGATATATACCTTAGATAGTTATAATGCAGTGAGTTTCAGTACTTAGTAGGGTACCTGATTTGTGATTACCGCTTCACATCGAAGTTTCATTGAGTGACAAGGTTTTAAGCTATTCTTTCGTATACATAATGCCGGAAACAATTATAGCCTCAATTAGTTCCTTTTATTGATGGGGCCTCATTCGACAAGAGTTTTCAAACGGTGCCACAAGTTCGGTGATGAGGTCGACGTTTCTGGCATGAAAAAACAATGAATGCTCTTGTACGAACACGCTTTCGATTTTTGCCGTGTGGAAGGAGCAGAATCTGCTGAAAACTAACGAAGCATTGTGGAAATGATATCTCTGGGTTTGGTTCAGAAGATGTAACGTATTCTGGCATTCATGTCCTATCGAGACATGAAGTCGACAATCCATCTGCTGACATCGAACCACTCATATTACTACTGGTTCTCCAAGTTGCTTGAATGCAGTCGGTGTAGCTCTTCTCCTATTCTACGTCTTACATTTTTTTGCCCATCACTACCGAATAACGATACCTTAGTTTCATCACTCCATAATTGTGACCACTGATCATCTGTCCAATAATGGTTCCTTTGCCCACTGTAGTCTTTTTTTTTTCGTTGCTGAAAATTAAGATAAGGCTTTTTTCTTGGAATTCTACTTCTGTTAATCTTCTTCGGATTGTTCTTGAACTGACAGAAAACCAGCATCATTCAATCACTCTGATGGCCGCTGATGCATTTTTTATCTTGGAGACATAGTTTTTATTCTTCTGTTCTCAATAGATGTGGTGCACCTTTTTCGGCTTTTTCCTTCCTTCTTTGTTTTGTATTGAATTTGTCTTCAGATATCGTAAACAAAACTTCGGACACTCCAGATGTAGTCACGAACCCCCACCGTCTTGCAATTTCAGCATAGGAAAACCACTTTCTCGTAACCATATATTGCATCTCTTTCAAGTGTCCAATCTACTCTTTTATTTGATGTTATTGCTTCTGACTAAATATAAAAAATTTTACGAAAATTCCTACTTGTAATTGAGTGTATAAGAACTCTTCCTTCTACAGAACAAGCAAAATAATGATTGTTTCAAGTGTAACATGAGTCAGCTCTACTGGCAGTTATTAACATTTGATTGGTTCAAACAAGAACAGTGATGGCCAGGAAGCTAGACATTACAAACCCCTTCATAACTGTGTTTTATTTATATTAAGTACTTATATAAGTTTTGTATTGCAAATAATTGAATGTTGTTTTTTGTGTTTTGTATTGAATCAGTAATAAATTCTTTTTAAAATGATAATACAAGTTTGCATTTTGTGAAACGTAACATTTCTGAAGCATACAAAGTTCAAAACATAAATTTCAAAAGGTCCTAATTTGGCCCCCACTGTATATATATATATATAAAGCTATACACATGTGTTACAGCTTATGTTTTTAATATAAAAGAAGTAATAGATGCTAGAGAAAGAAAATTGGAAAATTGATGGCATAGCAAATTATTTACATTAATTAGCATTTATCATGAAATGGAAAAACTGGCATTAGTTATTTTTAAGGTGTGTGTATTTAATTATGGCAAAGCACACTAGTGCTATCTGCCTAAGGGGAGGGATGCCTTAGTGGAGGACTTTCTAAGGGAAACTGGCTCGTATACACGTTACAGATGGGGAAAACCACGAAAACACCCATGCAGCCAGCTCGTTCGCGGGATTCAAACCTCGGACCGAACTACCAGTGTTCAGCGACTTTACCGCTCGGCCGCTGTTACTTCTAGGAAACTGTAATATAGCTTCGGCAAGAGCTCCTTTATTGGAGGGTCATAGATCCGATTTGTTAAACTTCAGAGCTTAGAAGAGTCTTTCCACATTGACCTGAGTAAGAGGAAGAGCTACTTCTTTTAACTTTTCAGAATAGATTTTTATAAGTCTAAAAGAAATGTCTTGCAAGAGCAATCATATTCCTCTGTTTCTTCAAAGGCCATGTGGAAATCTTGTGTGTATTTTTTCAGCTTTATATCTAAATGGTCTTCCTTCCTTATTTTCATTCACTTTGTCTTAGCCTTTTCAATATTATCCAAATATTTCTCAAAATGATCATTGCAATTCACACTGGAAGAGGATGATAAAGACTCAGTTGCAATGTCTGCAGTTTGACTGTCCTGATTCGAATTCTTTAAGTGTTCTGAGAATAAATTCATTCTTAATGAAAGTTCATTGATGGTATTCTTTGCCTTTTTCCTCATTTTGTTCCTCATTGTATTTTTTCCTCATCCAAGAAAATTCGATGTTTCGGTTCTACATATATTGAATCCAGCAAGATCTCATTGTCCAGAAAACTAGTTTCTCTTTTCTTCATTGAATAAATAATTCGTTTTGCAATAAACCTTCCATGTCAGAAAGAACAAACATCCCATTATTCCATTCTCGCATGCTGTTAATTCTTCAGATTGCAGCTTTTTTGTAGCTGTATAAGGTGTAGAAAGAAGAGTTTCCTATTCTGCAAGATCATTCCGCAGTCTTCCTTTTAGTGACACATTAGGGTTATCTACATCTTCTAAAAAAGTTCTTAATTCTAAAAACCTCTTTATAATCGAATATGTACTTCCTTATCGCGTTGCTTGATCAATTATTGCTCCTTTTCTTGCTTGCGTACTAAGAATAGCATCAATTTTGGGAGTTCTTGCTGCTGTTGCTGCTTACCTAAATTTACCAGTGAGATTTGTAACTAAATGAATAAGTTTAATCACTAATGGCAAATATCCCATCCATTCTCCTCTCTTATATATTTATTAATATGTCAAAAAATAGAAAATAACTATTTATTAACGTATATAGTCAATAAATAAAAATAATCACTCATCTTGTCATTAATTTTTTTCAATTCATTTTAATTTCATTTCAAATATAAACTGTCCAACGAAAACTGGAGTCCACTCTAGCTTTTAGCAACTCCAGCTCCGACTCATTTTACCCCAAAATCTGCCCGACTCCATGACTCCTTGACTCCGACTTTGGCTCTACAGCCCTGCTAATTAATCAACGTGTGCCCATGCATTCAATGATGAAGTGTGTTTATTTCATGTGCTATTTTATAACCTGTTTGTTTTGTGGTGTCCTATATGTCTGTGTGCATGTTTATCTGTGTGTCTACCTATGCTAAAAAAAGCAAATTAATGTAATAAAAAAATCTGAAATGTTTCAGATTTTAAATTACGTCCAAAGGGGCGTTTTTTTAACGTTTTGTGTGTTACCTTTATTTATTAAATACCATGTTCTACGTACTCAAACTATAAAATTCAGTTCAACAGCAATACTGCTGATTAATTTTAAAATAAGCATATTATCCTTAGAATTTCCGATACAGAGTCTCCCGCGCAGGAGATATAAATGTTTTTTTCTGGAGATATAAATGTTTTTTTTCCGTTGCCATTGCTCGCTTTGAAATCCTTTAGTTTTTTAATCAAAACTTTGTTGAAGTGTTAGAAAATCTTAAATCAATAATAAAACAAATTTCAAATTCAAATTAGGTCTTCCAAATGCCAACATTCTATGTAAGATTACGTTATTTAAATTTTGATGGCTCTAGGTACCGTTGTTTTATCAGAGTGCGAGAAACATACTACATTCATGCAGATTCTTCATTATTTAATTTCTTTAAATATAATACAGGGCGTTTATATTTGGTGGCAACAATTGGAAAAGTGAAACAATTCTTATTATGAATCGACGCAAAAAGCCAAAACGAAATTCCTCCTGGGGAAATTCTCCTTTTGGACTAATAATGTCATGATTAAATTGTGCGCATTTTAAAAAGCTGTTTTATTTATAAAGTCTGTAAGGTAACAGATTTAAGAAAGCTAGACATAAAATAACTAAATTGAGTTCTTTAGAGATAAAGTAGAATTAAAACCATAACTATTATTGTTATGAATTTTATTTTAAAAAGTTGAATTTTTTGCTTTTTACTTCCTTGTACGAAGTAGAAAGGAAGTATTGTAATCGCAAAGCTTCAGGCAGCATATTTCAAGGAAAATATCCACTTTGACCGCTTTTCGAATGCAGTTTAACGATGTTTTTGTGTGATATATGTACGTAAGGACAGAATAAAAGACTCTTTTTGTCCAAAAAAAACAAAAAAACTGCTTTAAAATGAATTCTGAAGAGAATTGTTCGTTGCGTCTGTACGAACGTACGTACGTACGTTTCTCGCATAATTCAAAAACGAGTAGCCTCGGAACGTTGAAATTTTGTATATAGGACTACTATAACATGTAG